CCTGTGCGATTCATATGCGGGTCTATGCGGTGCAATTTCATACCCATTCCTTTTAATGGGATGAAATCGCACCGTGTAAAAGTGCATGCACACTTTTTTTAAACGCATGGTACCATGGTGTTTAATGCTGGCTGGGCAAACACAATACATTTACGACCTGTGTTCGGGGTGTCATTAATTTTAACTGTCCTCCGTAACAAATCGCAAGGGCATTGCGATCAGTATGTGGTATTGGAACCCGCAAGGGAAAGCGGCTCTCCAGTACCGCATTACAGCAGGATTGAGCACTTAAGATATCGCAGTGTGGTAGTGCATTAAAAGAAGCACAACTATACTACTAAAGCTCATGAACTTTTTTGCATGACAAGCTGCAATATTAAGCTCAGGTGTGGAAAAACACCAATTAATATAATGAAAATTCTCATGTTGTGCATTGCCATGCTTCGGGAAACAAACAGCAAATTGCTCAGCTGTGAATGGATGCTTAAAGCGGAGTTCCACCTGGAAAAAAAAAAAAGTCAGCAACTACAAAAACTGTAGCTACTGACTTTTAAAATACAGCCACTTACCTGTCCCTCAGTCCAGCAGTGTCCTCACCACCGCTGATTCACCGGCTGTCTTTTCTCCCTAGTGCTGGAATCTTCAGTGTGGGCACCCAACTGTGACAGCTTACGGCTACACAGCCGGGTGCCCACTGCGCATGCGCAAAAAGCGCTGCGCTTTGTGAATGGTCCCATAGTCTTCTGGGACCTGTCGCATGTCCCAGAAGACTATGGGGGGGGGGGGGAGGACAACTTCCGCTTCTGATCGCCTAGGCTATTGCAAGTGGGACTGGGTACCTGTCAAATTCAGGAACTCATTCCCCAAAAGGTGCCAATCCTTAATGGGGAGTGGGAGACAAAGGCTTAAAGCGGAACTTCCCCTTTTGAGTGGAGCTCCGCTTTAAACTTTGTTACCACTGGTCAATTTATACAGGTTTTTAGTTTTTATAAAAGAGTAAACCTCTCTACAGCATTTGGATCTGTTGTGGCTGCTACTTCCACCATTCAATTCAGACCTCTAACCACTGTAGTGTTGCAGCCAAAACTACCTAAATAAGGCTTTCTCACGTTGAAATGAAATAGATTGGGCTGCTGCTGTATTTATGCCAAGCTAAATATAAACGTCTAAAAGAGAACTTCAAAATATGTGATGCCAGAATACATTGTCACCAGGGGCGGACTGACCATTTAGAAACTCGGGCACTGCCCGGGGTCAGTAGGGGGCCCCATGAGATGCCCCTGGTACCTTTTTCAAAGGCTTTTTTGAGTTTGGGCAAGGACACAGGGGCCCCATGAGTTGTCAGTCTGCCCCTGATTGTCACTGATGTTGTGCTGTTCTATACTGCATACAGCCTAAAGACATCTCCCAAGCACGTCATTTAAAGTATAGATGTGTTTCCAATGTTGCCCCTAAAGTCGCAAAAAGACCCTCTCTCACTGTAGGGTATTTAAAAAATGTTTATTTTGCTCTGCTAAATGCCTCCCATGGCAATGCTATTTTTGACAATAGCTTGTCTATAAGGCTACATGCACCCAGCTGCAAGAGGGCTAAGTAGCATACATTCAGGCGTAATTCTCTGTTTGGAAGTCACAGATGCAGTGTACAGCCCACCGCCAGCAGCCTGTAGACATCAATGACCGTGGCTGCACACAGATATGCAGTACACATTGTAGTGCTAATTTCAAACAGGGATGTATCTACTTTCCTGAACACAGACTGTCTACATTTGGGGCAGCAGATATGTCCCTGTACACAAATACCACCTGGATGTGTATATATCTACATACAGTGTACTTCAGCCTGTCATTGATTTGAACGAGCTGTATGCTGCATTTGGGACTACCAGGCAGAGAATTACTCCCAAATGTATGCTGTCCAGTCCTCTTCAAGCTGTGTGCAGGAAGCCTTATCCTTGAAAATGGCCAGAATACAATTTGAAGATTTGTCCCCCACGGACTTTATTTGGGTTTGCCGCTAAGTTTGGGTTTTGCAGATTTCACATAGTATTCAATGAACTCACTATACATCAACAGCAGGCAGATTCACTCATCCCTAACCGTGATTACATCCCCACTTTATCGACTAAAGAAGAAGCAGCTCTGCTCTGCTCTGCTCTTCTTACGTCAGCAAGTTCACAGCTGAACTGAACTCACCTGATTGCCTCTCATTGTTTGTTCTCCCAGCCCAGTCTGAATACTGCTGCCCACAAACAAGTTTCAATACTTACACAAGTTGCCTAAAACTTTTTAATTTCTAAATAACTATGTTTAATTGTTTTTTTTGGTTTCTGCATGGAGTTCAGTTCCTACCTACTAGTGGAAGAAAGTAACCTCTTCTAAATTTATTGTGGACGTAATGTATGACAATCATTTTACTGAAGTTCATGGAACAAAGGTTTATTCTTGGTATCATTTTTCAAGACAATTATCCATCATCTTCGTTTTTCCATTCTTAACAGAGCTCCATTTTTCTGCAACTATTTTTGGCTGTTGAATTGCTTCATTATCCTGAATACCAAGATGTTTTCTTGTCTAATTTTTATTTTTATAACATAGACCTCAGAGATTCAGTTTGGCAGATATTTTTTTTTGCTCTTTAAAGAGATTGTGTTATATATGACCCCATTCTGTCAATTAAAACATTTTAAGCTAGGGGCTGATGATTAATTGGTTTAACTTTAGAACTTTATATCATGAAATAATCAAATGTGATACAAATAAGCTTATACTCCATTATCATAAATTACATGCACTAAATAACTCCTCCTTTTACTATTTTGTGCTCCAAATTATTCCTATATTAGGAGGATATATTGGAATCTAATTAAAAACAAAGTTTCATGTTTAAAAGTATGCTGAGAATTGGGGTTGCTCTATGCAAAATCTCTGCACAGAGCAGGTAAGTATAACATGTTTGTTATTTTCTTTTTAGAATCTGCCTTTAATATCACCTAAAAAAGGACATGGATGAATGAAGTTATCATATTTTCTGATGGTAAGTTATGCTCACTGTGCTGTAACCTCCTTGTATTTTATTTAGTTTTTTTGGGGAACACACCTGATTGCATGGCTACTGGTGCTGTTCTAGATTTGTATATACATATATAATATATGTGTATATACAAATATAGAACAGCATCGGTAGCCAGGCAACCAGGTGTGTATATACTGTATGTGTGTGTATATACAGGTGAAACTCGAAAAATTAGAATATTGTGCAAAAGTTCATTTATTTCAGTAATGCAACTTAAAAGGTGAAACTAATATATGAGATAGACTCCTTACATGCAAAGCAAGATAGTTCAAGCCGTGATTTGTCATAATTGTGATGATTATGGCTTACAGCTCATGAAAACCCCAAATCCACAATCTCAGAAAATTAGAATATTGTGAAAAGGTGCAATATTCTAGGCTCAAAGTGTCCCACTCTAATCAGATATCCTGTGTGTGTGTAGACTTTTTGACCCTTGAAAATCTTCTCAAAAGTTGGGGGTCGTCTTATACGCCGGTACACGTCAGGGGGCACTTTTTAGGGGGGCGGTGCTGCCGCCATCTCCCCCCTTCCGACGGAAGGGACACCAAGTACAGGGGTGGGCAGAGGGCTGCAGTCTCTTACCTGGCTCCCATGATGATCCATCCAGGAAGCGCTGCTCCTTCAGTCACTCCGGCCACTCCCTCACTCCTGCCGCTCGGCTCCGCCTCCTCACCGGTGATTGGCCGCCAGAACTGTAGCTCAGGAAAAGCACACAGGCGGCCAATCACGGGCGAGGAGGCGGAGCCGAGCGGACCCACAAAAATCGAGTGAGGGTAAGTGTGCGGTGCAGAGGTGCTGCTGCAACCACATATGCTGGCTGCAGCAGTACCATACTAGAACAGGAGTCAGCAAGTGTCATTGGTGTCAGTGGGAGGAATAGTGCCCCATCATTGGTGTCACTGATACTAATGATGGGGCATTATTCCTCCCACTGACACCAATGATGGGGCACTATTCCTCCCACTGACACCAATGATGGGGCACTATTCCTCCCCCCACTGACACCAACGATGGGGCACTATTCCTCCCCCCACTGACACCAACGATGGGGCACTATTCCTCTCCCCACTGACGGAGTACTATTCCTCCCACTGACACCAATGTTGGGACACTATTCCTCCCACTGACACCAATGATGGGGCACTATTACTCCCACTGACACCAATGATGGGGCACTATTCCTCCCACTGACACCAATGTTGGGACACTATTCCTCCCACTGACACCAATGATGGGGCGCTATTCCTCCCACTGACACCAATGATGGGGCGCTATTCCTCCCACTGACACCAATAATGGGGCGCTATTCCTCCCACTGACACCAATGATGGGGTGCTATTCCTTCCACTGACACCAATGATGGGGCGCTATTCCTTCCACTGACACCAATGATGGGGCACGATTCCTTCCACTGACACCAATGATGGGGCGCTATTCCTCCCACGGACACCAATGATGGGGTGCTATTCCTGCCACTGACACCAATGATGGGGCACGATTTTTTGCTCTGACACCAATGATGGGGCACTATTCCTCCCACGGACACCAATGATGGGGCACTATTCTTCCCACTGACACTAATGATGGGACACTATTCCTCACACACTGACACTAATGATGGGGCACCATCATTGGTGTCAATGGGAGGAATAGTGTCCCATCATTAGTGTCAGTGGGAGGAATAGTGCCACATCATTGGTGTCCGTGGGAGGAATAGTGCCCCATCATTGGTGTCAGAGCAACGAATCGTGCCCCATCATTGGTGTTAGTGGGAGGAATAGTGCCCCATCATTGGGGGAAGGAAAACTCTGCGGAAGTGGGAGCGGGTACCTGTCAAATTTGGGTACCCACTCCCCAAAGTTCTGCAGTCTCTGGTCATTTCCTGTACCGTGTCCGCAGTCTCTGGTCATCTCCTGTACCGTGTCCGCAGTCTCTGGTCATCTTCTGTACCGTGTCCGCAGTCTCTGGTCATCCCCTGTACCGTGTCCGCAGTCTCTGGTCATCTCCTGTACAGTGTCCGCAGTCTCTGGTCATCTCCTGTACCGTGTCCGCAGTCTCTGGTCATCCCCTGTGCCGTGTCCGCAGTCTCTGGTCATCTCCTGTACTGTGTCCGCAGTCTCTGGTCATTTCCTTTACTGTGTCTGCAGTCTGTCATCATCTCCTATAGTGTGTCTGCAGTCTCTGGTCATTTCCTTTACTGTGTCTGCAGTCTGTCATCATCTCCTGTACCGTGTCGGCAGTCTCTGGTCATCTCCTGTACCGTGTCGGCAGTCTCTGGTCATCTCCTGTACCGTGTCCGCAGTTTCTGGTCATCTCCTGTACCGTGTCCGCAGTCTCTGGTCATCTCCTGTACCGTGTCCGCAGTCTCTGGTCATCTCCTGTACCGTGTCCGCAGTCTCTGGTCATCTCCTGTACCGTGTCCGCAGTCTCTGGTCATCTCCTGTACCGTGTCCGCAGTCTCTGGTCATCTCCTGTACCGTGTCCGCAGTCTCTGGTCATCTCCTGTACCGTGTCCGCAGTCTCTGGTCATTTCCTTTACTGTGTCTGCAGTCTGTCATCATCTCCTGTACCGTGTCCGCAGTCTCTGGTCATCTCCTGTACTGTGTCCACAGTCTCTGGTCATTTCCTGTACTCTGTCCGCAGTCTCTGGTCATCTCCTGTACTGTGTCCACAGTCTCTGGTCATCTCCTGTACTATGTCTGCAGTCTCCGGTCATCTCCTGTGCTATGTCTGTAGTCTCTGGTCATCCCCTGTAGTATGTCCACAGTCTCTGGTCATCTCCAGTACTGTGTCCGCAGTCTCTGATCATCTCCTGTACTATGTCTGCAGTCCATTGGTTCAGAATATTTTTTTTCCTTGTTTTCCTCCTCTAAAACCTAGGTGCGCCTTATGGAGCAAAAAATACGGTATGTGTGTGTGTGTGTGTGTATATATATATATATATATATATACACACACTGTATAGGAGTATGTATGTATATACCATCATAACTTGACCATAATATGAACACCTACCTAATACTGAGGTCTTTTGCTGCAAAACAGCCCTGACCCATCAAGGCATGGATGCCATAAGATCTCAGAAGGTATGCTGTGGTATCTGACACCAAGCCATCAGTAGCTGTAGGCATATATGCAACAAACTAAAATGCACATTTTTTCTGCTTCAACACATCAACTTCAGGGACATCATTTTTATTGCTTCCAAATATATCCCACCAACGTTCAGATGACATTTTAACAAGATAATCAATGCTATTCACGTAACCTGTCATTGTTCATGAAGTTATGGCTGATCGATGTGTATATATAGTATTCTGCACACCTACCACTCCAATCGTGCTGCCATCAGCTGGAACCTGTCCATAGTTCCAATAGATATAAAGATGCAAAGTAGCTGCAGCATTCCTTTTCTTTATTAATCCATTGATAGTAACAATGTTATAGCATTTAAAAAAAAAAGACAACAAATGGGAAACAGTTTTGGTCTATTAACTCAGCCATTCATTAGGCCTGTTGTCTAACATGAACCACCTTACAACAATTCACATAAATATACACTACCCAAAACTGTTATCTATCCCTCAATTTTAAAGCAGTATTAGACCAAATGGAAAAAAAAAAAATTATATTGCAGCTCACCAATTCTAACTGCTATCAGAATGGTTCATGGCCCTTGAACTCTATTGCTGATTCATTGGCAGTGTGTCAGACCTCTGCAGTGCGACATCTGTTTCCCCACAGAGGGCAGGTCCTTATCTACAGCATGCTGGCAGGGGGCAGGTTTTTCTACTTAGGCTGTGGCTGCTTTCTAAAGAAAATTAACTGTTAGACTTTAAGCACCTAATGTTTGTGTGCATCTGAAAAATCTTTAGCTGACTAAAACCAAAAGTTCATTTGGGCAGCCACTCTGTAGTGCAAGGAGGAGGAAGGTGTGATGCAGACACCTCTGACTCTGACTAGAGACAAACAGAAACGTAACAACATTTTCTACCCTGCCCCGCTCACTATTTTCACTAAAGACACTTTTCTAGCAGTATCTACAGGTGAACAGATTTTAGTTTGTCACAAAGTACAATAAAAACTACTATATTGGGAGAATCTAATGTTTCTGACCACCTTAAGCCCTCATGCACACTGGATGTGTTGCTAACGCTGGTAACATTAGCTGTGTAAACAGTGGTGTATTTTGGTGTTGTGCTGTCCTAGGCAAGACTAAAATCGGCACCCCCCCCCATCTAAATGTGTCCTATCCTTTCATCTGCAAACCCCACCCCTTCCTATTTAGGCTCCACCTCTTCCTATTAGAGCTCCGCCCTATGACACCGATGGAGCACTATTCCACTGACACCAATGATGGGACACTATATCTCCCACTGATACCAATGATGGGGCACTATTCCTCCCACTGATACCAATGATGGGGCGCTATTCCTCCCACTGACACCAATGATGGGGCACTATTCCTCCCACTGACACCAATGATGGGGCACTATTCCTCCCACTGATACCAATGATGGGGCGCTATTCCTCCCACTGACACCAATGATGGGGCACTATTCCTCCCTCTGACACCAATGATGGGGCACTATTCCTCCCACTGATACCAATGATGGGGCACGGTTCCTCCCACTGACACCAATGATGGGGCATGATTCCTCCCACTGACACCAATGATGGGGCACTATTCCTCCCACTGACACCAATGATGGGCACTATTCCTCCCACTGACACCAATTATACTTACTTTGCCGTGCCACACCCCTGAAAAGTGCCACCCTAGGCAAATGCCTTGTTTGCCTCGTGGCAAAATTGCCCCTGGGACAAGTGAGGAGCAGTGGGACATGAGGAGTGCAGTGGGACAAGTGAGGGGCAGTGGGACAGGGGGCATGGGACAGTATCGGGGCAGCTGGACAGGAGGAGTGCAGAGGGACAGGTAGGGGGCAGCGTTACAGGGGGGCATGGGACAGGATCGGGGCAGCGGGACAGGAGAAGCGCAGTGGGACAGGAGAAAAGCAGAGGTACAGGAGAAGCGCAGTGGGACAGGAGAAAAGCAGAGGGACAGGAGAAGCGCAGTGGGACAGGAGACACGCAGAGGGACAGGAGAAGCGCAGTGGGACAGGAGAAGCACAGTGGGACAGGTGGGGGGCAGTGGGACAGGTGGGGGGCAGCGTGACAGGGGGCATGGGACAGGATCGCGGCAGCGGGAAAGGAAGAGCACAAAGGGACAGGTGAGGGGCAGTGGGACTGGAGGAGTGCAGAAGGATAGGTGAGGGGCAGTGGGACAGGAGGAGCGCAGAGGGATAGGTGGGGGGCAGCATGACAGGGGACATGGGACAGGATCGGGGCAGCTGGACAGGAAGAACGCAGAGGGACAGGTGAAGGGCAGATGGACAGGAGGAGCACAGAGGGACAGGTGAGGGGCAGATGGACAGGAGGAGCACAGAGGGACAGGTGAGGGGCAGATAGACAGGAGGAGCACAGAGGGACAGTTGGGGGGCAATGTGGAAACAGATGAGTGGTAGTGGGACAATGTGGGGGACAGGCGGGGGAAGTGGAACAGGTATGGGGCAGGGTGACATGTGGGGGCAGGGGGCAATGTGATGGATGGGGGGCAATGGGACGGGGGAGGGAAGTAAAACAGGTTGGGGGCAGTGTATCAGGGGACAGTGAGACAGGACCGAGGGAGCACCAGTCCTCCAAGCACTTACCTGTCCAGCAGTGGCTCCTCCAGATGGTGTCAGGATCACACCAGGACAGGTGCCTGTGTCCCTTCTCCCCCTCGATCTCCGGCGGCGGCTGCAAAGGAGCGGGTTGGCTCCGCCCCCTGACCTTGTCCTCTTCTGCTTCCTCCTTCTGGCCTTCACCTGGATACCGACACACTGACATCGGGCCCCGCTTCTCACGCGCTCCGGGGATCCGCCCACCACTCCGTTCTCCTCTGCAGCTAGTCCCTCAGCCATGGCGGCCCCGCCCCTGTATCTTTCCCACGGAAGTGTCCCTTTCGTGGGAAAAGGGGGGGCGGCACTGCCGCCGTGCCGCCCCCCTGAAAAGTGCCGCCCCCCTGAAAAGTGCCGCCCTAGGCAAATGCCTAGTTTGCCTCGCAGCAGATACGCCCCTGTGTGTAAAATCACGTTAAAAGCATGAGTTTTTTAGGTTTTTTTTAGCGGTTTTCCATTATCAGTGTTTTCCCTTTTTTTTTTTGCATTTGCGGTTTTTAGCATTTTTTTTAGGTTTTTTTTACCAAAAAAATTATTTTTTTTTTTAGTCCAAAAAAGTCCAAAAATGCTGGTTTGTGGCGTTTTACCACATTTTGCAGCATTTTTCAGCGTTAGAGCATTTTTACAGCTAAAAAATTCCTCTAGAAACCCACTAGTCCTGGGGGGTTTTTCCAGCCAAAAAATGTTGATTGAAGTCTATGTGTGTATGGACACATAGGATAACATGCTGGGGGGTTTACTGACTGTAGAAAAAAATGTCAAAGGCCAAAAACAACCACTGTAAAAATGTCAAGTGGACATGAGGACCAAAGGATAAGTTCACCTTGTGGACAAAAATAATAAATGCATACTTTTTTTCAGGTAAAAAAATGTGCATTTATTATTTTTGTCCAAAGGACCCTGGAAAGCATTGTACCAGTGATCAGTAGATCACTAATGCCATGAAGGTCTCCTGCAGACCTGTCAGAATATCTGCTTGCTGTTCGGGATGTACGGGAAAGGAAAGCAGATATTACTGACAGGAAGCTTCAATTAAGTCGCTAAGGCTGCTGGGACTTGTAGGCACTCATTCAGAGAACACTGTGAATGAGTGACGTGGCCGTATGGGTGGAGCCCCGCACGGCCGCGCTGTTTTTTCAAATCTGATGGATAGTACAGGGGAACTTCTCCCCGTACTGTCAGAGGGGGGGGGGGCAGCAGACTCGGTTGCGGATGCGGCTATCTGAACATGTTACATGTTCCACCCTCAAACGGGTGGAACATGTAACATGTTCACAAAGGTTAAATTATCCTTTAAAATGTCCACCTGCATTATCGAAACTGTGTGCCTATGAAAACAATATATTAAGCTTTTGCTGTGGAACTAAGTAAGTAAAAACTTGTTCATTGCCAGCCAGCATCAGCCTCACCATCACCCCGTGAAGTCATTACCGTCAATTCAAGAATAGATGTATTTGACAATCTATATTAACTTATATAAATTGGTTTGTCTAACACAAATTGCTTTTAAATCCCCTGCTTGCACCTAAATTGCATTATCACTGAAGAGTAAGGATTTACTGACTTGCGTTGAAGTTGTAGGCAATAGAAAGAGTGATATACATGTTCTTTCAATCATTGACTAAATTACACAGCATTGTTCAACAGTGAATTGCTATTGAAATTTCTCTTCAAGTACTTCTTACAGAATTGGGTGTGCACTGTGCAGTCATGCTGACATCTTCATGAATCTGACAAGTTAAATTGCTCTTGTTAATAGAATACAATTTCACTATTGTCTTCATTGCCCATATCATGGATATTTACATAGAAATGAATATAAATGCACATAAACTCACTTTATCTTTACAGAAAGTCTGACCATTAATTTAGGTACAACTAGTTATTCATAAACCATTACATTTAAAATAGGTCAATTTCTATATATAGCTCATAGATAGGAGAATACTTTCACCCACAAAATAGATTGATGTCTTAAAAATTTTGAAGCGACTGTCTTATATTAAATGCATGACTTTTATCTAAAATGCCATTTGGAAATGAAAGTGTAGTGTCAAAAGTAGTGAAGAGTTAATCTGTTAGCAAATTAGGTAATTGTCAATTTTTTTAATTGGCCTGACCTGTGCAGATTTAACCAGTAAGCTCACTAGTAGGCATAAAGTCGCAGTTCAGTCTGAACACAGTTTCAGACCAAACTCTAATTATTCAAGCAATTACTGAAAGCGAAACTTTTAACCTGTTCT